TATCGTACTTTGGCCACATAATGAGAAGGCACGGATCACTAGAAAAATCAATAATGCTAGGAAAGGTAGAGGGTAGGAGAGGAAGACCACAAATCAGATGGATAGACTCCATCAGGGGGGTTATTATGGGCAAGGGCTTGCAGGATCTGGGCAAGATGGCAGTGGAAGAGAGGGATTCTTGGAGATGTCTCATCCACAGGGTCACCATGAGTCGGATCCAACTCGAGGGCAGCTAACAACAACAACAAGAAGGAGACTCCACCACTCTCCGAGGCTGTGATCCTGGGATTCCTTTGATTCCTAGGATCCTACTTTGGGATAACTAAAGTATTTGGGGGTTCCATCTGCAATGTCTCAATGCACAAACACCCATCCTGGGACAGTGGAGGTGGGAGATAGTGAAACTCTTCTCTGGGTTTTAGTCCCGACTTGAAAGGACTTGTGTAAAGGGCCCCTCTATAGGTTCAGCGCCTTGGACAGCTCCTGTAAAGTTTGGACTAAGAGACAAAGTGGACATCACAGTCACTAGCCCTACAGTTGGCCCTCCGTATCCATGGATTCTTAATCTACAGATCCAACCCTCCACAGCTTGAAAATATTTTTTTAAATATATACAAATTTCAACAAGGAAATCTTGGTTTTGCCATTTGATATAGACTTATAGAACCATATGATTCTTAATCATCTGATTTTATGATTCTATTATTCAATATCAAATGGCAAAATCAAGATTTGCTTTTTGAAATTTATATATATATATTTAAAATATTCTCAAGCCGCAGACACCATTTTGCTACCCCATTGTATTTAATGATACCTCAGCATCCATGGATTTTGGTATCCTGTGGCATTCCTGGAACCAAAACTTTAAACAAATTAAAAAATATATGTTCAGGTGTTGAATGGTTGAATCTTTGGATATGTAGGGCTGACTATATTAAGATGGATATATAAGACATTACCAAAATGTAAGTTTCCCCCCATTAACAGGGTGGAATGAAATGGTGAGAAGCAAAAATTCATTAAGAAAAAAAGCAAAAGAGGGCTCTTTGTCCTAAAGAGATGGGTTAGATCTAATTTTCTAGAACAGCTGCTGAGGAGGCATTTCTTCTGCTAGAAAAAGAAAAAGAAAAAGGCACCCAGTTCACATTTAGCGCGCCATCATCCATCTCTGACACCCCCATAAAAATATGTTCCATACTCTACCATTCAGGTAGAAAATTTATACTTGCCTTCTTCTGAGGCTGAGACAGTGTGGCTTGTTCAAGGTCACCCAGTAGGATTCCATGGCCAAGTAGGGATTTGAATCCCGGTTTCCCGGTGCTCTAGCCCAAGTAACACTCAAACCACTACATCTGGCTATCTTCTGAAAGACTAGCAAGTTTTATTTAACGGAAATGTTTCTAGTCTCCAGGCCATTTTGTCGGATGCAGAATAAGACTCCCAATTTGACCTAAAAGGTACACCATCCCACCTCCTAGAAAGGTAAGGATTTCATTTCAGGTTGTTTTTATTAGAATTAACAACAACAGTGAAAATATCCACCCATTTCTTCTTGTTTGAGAAGGAAAGATTTCTTTTAAAAAATGAAATTATGGGAGAAACCAAATCTGGTGCATGAGTTCCTCCCAGACCCAGGGCTTGGAAAAAGGAACATTTATTTTTATTTTTAGTTTTGAAATTTTGATTTGGAAGGAAAAATGAACATTTATAAATCTGGCTTTGAATTCTTCTATACTCCACTGAGTTGATGTTCAGGGCATCTTGAATCTTTTTGCATTCCTTGGGTTATTTGGCCTTCCCTCTCTTTTGGATGCCTAAACTATATATTTTAAATGCTCAGCTGAGATCTTAAGTTACTTTGTTGTAGTGTGCCTTCAAGTTGGTTCTGACTTATGGCGACCCAAAGGCGAGCTGAAAAAATGGGGTTTTCTTGGCAAGATTTCTTCAGAGAAGGTTTGCCAATGTCATCCTCTGAGGCTGAGAGAGTGTGACTCACCCAAGGGCACCCAATGGGTTTCATGGCCAAGCCAGGAATCGAATTCTGGTCTCCAGAGTTATAGCCAAACACTCAAACCACTATGCCACACTGCCTCTATATTCAATGCTAGAAATTTAGAGATTAAAGGAAAATTTAATGGGAGAGAGGCTGAACTTTTATGTAAGGAGGCAATTCCCTCTTTTTACCCCTCTGTCTATTCTCTTCTTAGTGCAGAATTGGGGTTTTCTTCCCATTTTTTTTCCAAATTTTGGGTTCCCCCCCAAATTTTGTAGGATTTTCTTCCATTTTCTCCAAAAGTCTCCTCTTCAACATCTTCAATAGGTAAAACTCAGAAGATCTGTACCAATTCAGTCAATCCATTTTTTAAGTAAGAAGTTGTTATACCTGGAATTTTTGTTTTCGATTTGATGGTCTTTGACCGTAATAAAATTATTGATTGATTGATTGATTAATCTGTACCGACTGCATCGGAGCAGCATAAATGGGGCAGGATTTAAAAACCATACCCTTTGCCAAATATTTCCCCAACCCTCCCTGTTTCTTTATATTAACGATGAGAAAATGTGAAACGCAAATGAGGGACCAAGGGAGAACTTTCCAAAATGCCCCCGTTGAAGAGTGGGCAGGTTTGTACATTCGGTTCTCTAGCTTTATGAAATCATATACACTCATACAGCTAGATAACCAAAGAGAAAAACCGACCCTGGCGTGTGGAGGCATTGCATGAGCATCTGTTTTATAAATCTGCACATTCATAGGCACATAACTTACACACTTTAGTTGAGTTTTGGATAGGGTTTTTTTCCTGGGTTGGTTCTCTTCATCTCCAAAATCCAGAAGGGTACCTGTTCCCTTTGAGGAAAGGTGCTGACCAAGGAATTCAGCCCCAATTTTGGGCAAAAAGTGGGATACTAATAATACTAATAATATTACTACTAATAAATTTCTCATGGCACAGGGTCCTATTCTGGCACAAATCTACACCCAAGGAGCAAAACAACCTTTTGCCTAACTTACGTGCCAGAGAGACCCATCCTCGAGAAACACTGGCTGGAATGATCTACGTTATGTAACTTTGCATGAGCTTAGCTACGTAGCAGAGGTGCTAAGAAATCCTCTTAGTGAATTGCTAAAATGCAGTGGTGCCCAGTGAGGCACTGGCAACCCCATCCGAAAATGCCAATGCACACTGGCACCCATTATGCATCACCGTTCCCAATGCACATCAGGCACTTTGTTGGCTTACGTAGGAACGGCACGGCCGCCCCTTGCTGAATGTTGCAGACATTACGGAACTGCTCATTTCTCTTTCTCATGGATGTAAGTCCACTTACAAAGATGTAAGTCCCCAAGGGAGTTTTGGCTGTTGCAGGCACGCACGCAAATACACACTGCTTACAGAACGGCCGGTCTTTGCTGATCTTCCCTTTTCCCATTAAAAAAACAACAAGACACTAATGATAATAATATACAATGGGCCTTCCTTTGGTATCTGCTGGGGTTTGGTTCCAGGACGCCGTAGATATCAAAATCTGTGAATGCTCAAGTCCCATTCAATACAGTGGCCTAATAAAATGACATCCCTTATATAAAGTGGCAAAATCAAGGTTTCTGTATTTTTAAAGAAATATTTTCAAGCCTTGGATAAAAAATCCATGGATATAGAGGAACAACTGTATCTCATCATATTGCACTCTGTCACCCATTTCCCCCCATGCCCAGTTTGCCTTTACATCCTATCCTTGTGCAAAATGCTGGAATTCATCTCTATGAATAGAATTAATCTCTATGAATCATGAAACTTAGAAGGAAAAAAGTGTGTATTTAATCTTAATGGGGCTCTCCTCCCCCCCCCACTCCATTTCTTTGCCATATAACTATATCGTTGTTGCTCTAGTGTGCCGTCAAATAATTTCCAACCTATGGTGACTCTATCATAGGGTTTTCTTGACAAGATTTGTTCATTGCCTTCCTCTGAGGCTGAGAGAGTATGACTTGACCAAGGTCACCCAGTGGGTTTCATGGCCAAGTGAGAAAATCAAACCCTGCTCTCCAGAGTTGTAATAATAATAATAATAATAAAATTTATTTATACCCCGCCTTTCCAAAAAGGATCAAACTTGGGAGCCAACACTCAAATCACACTGGCTCTCAACTATATTATATTATGTGATTAGATTAGATTATAGAGAGCATTTTTGCAAAACCCTGGTGTGAAAAAAATAATAATTCCTGAATCACTGAGAAGACTGTGATGTTGTGATCTGTTAGCCTCTCTTGCACTATTCATCCTGTATTATATTGATCATTTATTTTGCATTTTGCATCCTATCAGAACGGTTGTAGAGCATTTGCTTTGCCAAGGGGAATCTTCTGGGAAGGGGTGTTAACTGGAGTATTGATCATGGAAATGGGTGATAGAGTGAGATACAGTTATTAGTCCTCTAGATCCATGGCTTCTTTATCCACGGCTCTGTTTGGAGGTTCCTATTTTATTAATTTCATTTTTATGCCGCCTTTCTCCCTATTTTGTTCTCCATCCCTAAATTCTCCTGAAGAATTTTGTTTTGATGGGTAATGGATCCATGCTCTGAGTATAGGGAATAGTTATTCTTTTTTTGGCGGGGGAATTGAACTCCTCTGGGTCTCTAGGATCAAAATCACTCAAACTGAAAGCATCTCTCTAGCCAAGAGCACATGAGCCCAAAACCACACCAAATGCAGCAGCGTTCCAGTTCCACATATTTCCCATTAGGACCTGGTGCTAAAACGGTAAGACAAGGATGGTTTTCCAGTGACTCTTCAGTCTAATGAACACAGACCTTCTTGGCTCCCCAAAAAGACACTGCAGGCAGAGTAAATTAACCCAGCATCCAATGATCCAAGAAGTTCTCTATAGACACAAACATGGAGTTTGCAACGGGGAACAGTTATTATCAGCTCTCCCTGGAATAAGTCTCAGGATGGTCACCAGCATCCTCCTATTTTGATTTGCAAAAGTTGGAGACTTTGCACACCCTCCTTCCCTCACCGGGTATTGAAATAATAAAGTCACCATTTGAAACAAAAAGGCTAACCACTTTTTAAGAATAAATAGATAATCAAAAACAGTTTCCCGTCCACACTTTTACTTCTAAAGAAACAAACCTTTCCAAGTGAACACACACAATTCCCTGGGTCTGACATGAAGTTGTAGAAGAAATGACACTGAACGACAGATAGATAGATAGATAGATAGATAGATAGATAGATAGATAGATAGATAGATTAATGGGATGTTATACGAGGTTTTCTTCTGCCAACAGGACAACAAAATTTGGCTAAGGTAGGGGAGATATAGATAGGGGAGACTCACCCTTCTTTTTTCAACTGGACAGTTCCTGATCGTACATATTTTACAAATTTCCATCTCATCTTTCCCGAATGCAGCTTAATGCAGCCAATGGAACAAGAGGATATTGCCTTTTAACACATTTCAGTTTTTCAAAGTATATTCTTTGGCGATGGACCCCCGCTTCCAACGGACTTGCTTTTCTCTTTCTTTAATTTGGGGTCACTAGGATGACATTTGCCGTAATAAATGGAAATACTAAATGCTAATTTGGGGGTCGCAATTCTTCCACGATTTCCAGTTTTGTAAAGCCCCGCTTCGAAAACCTTGCAATAGGAAGAGAACTGTGTTTTTTGAAAAAGTCTTCTACTTACTTGCTTGGGTATTCCTCCTCTGTTTTTCCTTTTTCTCTCCAAGGAGAAGGAGACCTGAAGCAAAAAGTCCTCACCATCTTTGTCATTGGGATTAGGATGATGGAGGCTGCTGCTATGGAAAACTGAACTTTTCTATCTTCCTGAGCAAAGACGAACAAAAGCAGGGAACGAAAAAGAAAGGGGGGGGGGGAATAAAAAATTGTGGACTCTGCCTACCGAAATCCTTTCAGCGCACAGTCTATGCGTGGGTCTCCGACAGCCAGAGAGCCTTCGTGATTTCTCTCTAAACTTGATTGATTCAAGCCAGCTCTATTGGGGTGGGATGGAGAGAGAAGGGGGGTAAAGAAGAATCCAAGAAGAGCCCCAGCCTGGGACAAAAAGAGGGTGGGATGGGAAAAAAGAGGGACAATGCCAGACTGGAGGAGACGACGACGGCCTTTCTATGCGGGACAGCCAGACAGGGTCAGAGGTCGCTCACCAAAGCCACAATGATGTCAGGGCTGTTTGGGGATGCCTATTGAGACACGGGTGAACAAGTTTCCATGGAACTGGCTCCCAAGTTAGAGGTCTGGGTTAACCCAGGACCCCTTGGGACCCCTACAATGACCCCCCCTCAAGCCCATCGTTCTCATCGTCTGTTGCCCCTTTTGCATCCAACTTGGCGTCTATAAAAAGAGCCCTCCGACTTATATTCAGATGCAGCAGATTGCTTGGCGCTGCACTGAGCGATGGGCATTTCTTGTTGTCGTGGGCCTTCCAGTCCTTTCTGACTTATAGGGCAACCCTCTCCTGGGGTTTTCGTGCAAGATTTACGCAGAGGAGGTTTGCCATGGCCATCCTCTGAGGCTGAGAGAGTGTGGTCCGCTCAAGGGGTTCTTATGGTCCAAGTGGGAATCCAACCCTGGTCTCGAGTTGTCGACCAACACTCGAGTTAACTATACAACATGTTTACTTGTTTAGCATAGGGCTCTTTGGAGAGGTTGCTTTTGGGGACTGCAACCCCCGGAATCCGTACCCTCCAATGTGCAAAACTGGGACATGTAGGGAACAATGTGTCCAAGATGGCAAAAGTTATGAATGAGGACAAAGACCCGAGCGAGGAGAGGGTGTCTGTAACCCTCGAAGAAGGCAGTCTCCCTTTTGTTAAGGTCGGCTCTTGCTTTTTCTCTGACATAAATCTCCACAATTGCCAATATTGCAGCATCTTTCACCTGGGCTATGGGAGTCCCCAGAGAAGATGCATAAGGGTGGTACCAGTTTTCTGAGAATGAATGATTGTGCACCAAGACAAGATGCACTCTTTTGTGGAAATGATCGCTTTTGTCTTTAAAGATTTGCATTTAAAGTTTTGTTTAAGATTTTGCCCCTCTCTTCTCTCCTTACTGTG